TTTATACTAAGAACATTGTGTGCGAATATTGATTATTGATTGTTGATGGTATCATGACTGGATCGGGTTTCACGCTGAAACAATGTTTGGATATGGATTTGTCCCTCCAAAGTCAGGTGATTACCCATGTTACTTTTATCTTGTGAGTGCATATAGATTTTTGTTGTGAGGCATTGAAAGTGGATCACGAGCATGCATTTGCATCCTAGACGCATGTAGTAGCTTTTATATATAAACATTGATGGGTTCATATTATTATTGTAAAAGGAATTGAGATATTTGACATCGTATTATATTTTTTTTGCCTGAGAAGCATGTCTAAATTCCGGATTCTATTATGCCCTTACCTTTATACCTATTTGATGATACCATGCCTTATTTTTTGTGCTATATATGCTTTTACTTGTTTATTGAATTGTTAGCAGGTGCCAATATCTATCCCTTCTCACTACTTCTTTAAAACTAGACTTGATACTTACTGAGTACAGTAGTTTTATTCTCATAATTTACTTCTATACATTTTTGTGCAGATTCTGAGACAGATATTAGTTGTAACCATCCATCTATTTAGGAGCTTACTTTCGATCCGCAGCAAATGGAGTCTCCCTTTCTTATTTACTTATTTCTATCATTTTACTTCTTTCCATACATATGTTGTTGTTTAACTGAGACAATTTACTCTTATTAGATGCTCGTAGTGATATGACACCGATTTTGACCGTTTCGTGAGACAATTATAGTCGTGTTGAGACCTTATCCTTTGGTTTTTGTATTCATAATGTTATTTTGAGACTTATTCCGCTTTCTTATTTATATCATAACTTTGTTAATAACTTAATAGCTGACTTCTATTATTGTTGTTGAGTGTTGACTTGCTTAGCAAGCAGGTTAGGCGCCATCACGGCCTTTGGCGGACAATATCCTTCTATGCGATCACAACCTAAGCCAAGCGTTTGTGATACCATTAACAATAGAAAACCAGCAATTCCAACTTAGTTCAAAATAATCTGAAACCACCCCGGAACTCATCTGAGCCCCTAGGAACCCATCTATTCATCTTGGCAAGTCTGTATACCATATACAAACTGATCCAAGAGCTTAAAACACTAAAAGCAATAACAAAACCAATACTCAAGCATCAAACTAAAAATCTCAAAATTCTTTAAGTTCAAAATTCTAACTTTCAACTAGAACGCCCGAATCAACCCCCGGCCACCCAAGATCCTAACCGAATATACATACAAGTCCAAATCATCATATGAACCTATTGGAACCTTCAAATCATCAATCCATGGTCGTTAACTTATAACTCTAACTTTGATCAACTCTTTCAATCTTAAGCCTTTAGCTAGGAACTAAGTGTTTCAAATCACTCCTGAACCTCTCGGAGAATAGAGTTTTAAAATATAAAACGATCGGTTGGATCGTTACACTAGTTATCTCGACTGTATGGCATACACTACAATACAACTAGTTAAATTGAACGGATAGTATAAAAATTATTAACATTATTAGTGTCTACAAATTAAAGAACCACAAAGAAGCAAGGTACACTATAATTAAACGCTCAGAATTACTATAATTAAATGCTCAGAATTTAAGACCCTCCTCCCTGTGTTGTACTCAGAGGCGGATGCAATGTGGTAGCTACGGGTTCAATTGAATCCATAACTTTCGATGCGGAGTAGAAATTTATGTGTAAAAATTCATTAAAATTGCAAAAATTAATAGATTTGAACCCATAACTTTAAAAATATAATGGATTCAATGTTAAAATTTTTAGAAGTTGAATCCATAGAGTTTAATTCCTGAATCCGCTTCTGGTTGTACTTGCTTGATCATAATTCATAGTACTCTCTGTGTTTAAATGGTATCCTACTTATAAATATCAATATACGCTTGAAAGTGTTAATGGTAAAATATATAGGCGATTTGGATGAATTTGATATCCTTCTTAAGCTTAAAATAATTGCCTCAAAACTTATATCCCCAAAAAATTCCACTGATAGCATTGTAGTTGCTCGACACGTTTAGAGATTGAAAATAACTTGGAATAATTGCTTGGAGATTACATCACTTAGATATTGCTTCTAGTTTTGAAGGAAATTGTAGTTTCAAGATAAGTGGATCATTAGTAGTAGTTGATACATTAAAATAAACGAATATATTATTATTGCGAAGCATTGGAGACAGGGAATGGTGCATGATCCAAGAAGCCCATGATCCAAGACAAAAGTACCCACTTTGAGGTTTAAATTTATTTATTTAATTTAGCCGCCCATTTAGCTGCAGCTGCAGTGACATTCCTGAGAAGCCCTCTTATCTAAGCATATCATCTACCTAGGGGTGACAAATAAATGAGTGGGGCTGAATTTGGGCGGGTCAAGATGGGTTAGGTCAATAAATGGGTCATTGCCCAACCCAGCCTAAAGTGTACTTGAGTTAAGATGGACTGGGTCAAGATGGGCTAAACAGTGGGTCATAACCCAACCCGTCCAACTTGGTTCATGTTTTATAACCATGTTCATCTTGCATAAAAAAGCCTTTTACCTTAAAATATGTAAGTTGAAAAAAAAAATTCTATATAAGTTGGGTTGAGATACCTTTTGTTTTGGGTGAGTTTCATGGGTTACATTTGGGCTGCTTAATAGGTCAGAATGAGTTATAAAATATAATGAGTTAACTTGGGCTCAGCCCAAATTGACCCATGAGCTAAAATTATGTAACTCAACCCATTAATCTCTGGGCGGGTTGGGTAGGTTAGATGGGTTTGGGATCAAATTGCCACCCCTACATCTACCACACGAGTGCTTGAGTGCTGATTGCACAAACGTACAAAATACACTTTAGCTTATAAGGTCTCGTTTGGTATGAGGGAAAAAGAATAATTAATCTCAGAACTAAATTTAAAAGAATTTATTCCATGTTTGATTAGTAGAAAATTACGGTGTAATTAATCCCGGGAATAGTTATTCCGGAATTGTAGTATTTTTTTATCCCCATGAAAAAGAGGAATAACTAATCCCGGAATAACCAATTACGGAATAATTTATCCTGGGATAACTTCTTTCTAACCAAACGATCCCTAAGTTCCTATTTCTCGAATTTCTTTTATTTTAATATTATTCTTATTATTTTATCTTTAACTTTACTGTCAGAAGAATTATCGGTGCCAATTCCTACATGTAATTTGGCTAGCGTGGGGTTGGACCGGAGGCGAGGGGGTGCTCAAATATTCCATTTTCTGTGCTAATATTTCAAAATTTTCTAATTTGACCATCATTAGTCCAAAGTACAAAATTAAACGTACATTCAGTATACACTTAAATTATATGTTTCGTTGCTAAAGAAGAAGACTGTTAAATAGATGAGCACAAAGGCATGTTCCCCCTCTATATACTCCGAATATTGGTGTGTGCACCCCTATGACTATAATTTCAAAACTCATTAAAAAAAGAAAAAAAAAGGAAGTAAGGGGTTGGTGG